TTTTTTTTTTTTTTTTTTTTTTGCGTTTGTAATATTTTATTTTAAATGCTGTTATCTTTCCAAACTATCAGCTCAGTTTTTTTTTACCTGTTTATTTTAGATTCAAAGTTATTTTTTGTTGGCTCTAAAAAATTACACTTCAATATACATATTTGCTTATAGTTCTTTCAGTTTTTTTTTCCGATGATTTTATGATGTAATTTTATGTAGTCGTTAACAGCGAATTTGGAGGGGTTGATGGAGAATGAAAAAAAAAAAAAAAAAAAGAACAACAACAGGGAGGAAATGAAACAATAGGAGGATTGAAGGAATGCATATTTTTGGAATTTTTTATTCATCGAGCATCAGTAATTTTGTGAACAGTGGTTCTCATAATTTTATTGAAGACTAAGTCGATAACGGAAAAGGAACACGGAAGGAATACAGGAGACGACAGCAAGTTTTTTTTCTTTTAGTACTTTGCTTAATGTCTTCTGAAGTCATTCTTTACTTTCCTTTACTTAGTTACTTGATTGATAGTGTTTGTCATCAGAATACCTCTGTTTTTGACTTTTAACCTGTAAACTTTGTTGAAAAGTGACAGTAAAGCTGGCAAATATATGTTCCCTTGTATGACAAGTTTATCGGTTTATGTAATGGATGTGACAACGGATCTTGGAATATTTTTTAAAGGTACTGTTAAAGGAGCTTTAGATGTTCGTTGTTCACTGTGGAAAGAGGGAGGAAGAGAAGCAGAGAAGGAGTAACTTTATTCGTCATCGAAGATTGGAAGTCTTAAAGTTTCAGTAATGTCGTCAAAGAGAAGAGGAAGGGAGGGGGGGAAAGCAAGATGGTGGTGTTTATATGGTCTATCTGCCTTATTATTGATGACACTTGAACAATATATATATTTTTCTATTGATGTCCTTGTCGTATTCGTTGAGAAAAAAATACAAAGGGAAGGAGGAGAAGAAGAAGAAAAATGAAGAGATAGTAAGGAGAAGGACGAAAAAGAAAGTTATTACACAACGGTCATAATCAGAAAAATCTTTTTTTCTGATACAATAACAAATTGACGGTTATTTTAACTTCTGTAAAGTATGGCTGCTAATCTGTTGTCGTTGTCGTTGTTTGGTAATATTACGAGTCTTATCAGTTGAATGGTTAAGGAATAAAATCGTATTGTCAAAATTTTTGTCACCAGAAATGCTCAGAGTGTTTCTTTTCTTTCATTCTTTCTTCTTCTTCCTCTTCCCTTCCTCCACCTCTCTTTTCCTCTACTTTTTTTTGTCCAGTGATGAGTTTTCATTTGACAACAGTTTTTTTGCTTAACTGATTTTTCAGGTGTGAAATTGTAAGCGCTGAATCAGTTTTGTTTGAATATTTTGTAGGCGGAAAAGATGGACAAAACAGCTTATTGTTGGGGTTTTTTTGCTGTTAAACCCAAAGTGCTGTTTGTTGATTGTTGAAAAAGCAGAAAGTTTAAAACTAAAAATGCTGTTGTTTGTTTTCTCTCATGTGCTCCAATTGTCGTTTACAGTGCAATTTATAATCGACTAGCGTATTTAAATAAAAAAAAAAACGATCAAAGAAAAAACAGTTTTTTTAAGGTTTGCAATTGAGATCAAAAAAAATAAAAGATGCAAAGAAAAAATAGAGGGTTTAAATGAACCAAACTTTTTGAGGGTCGTTTTCAAATAGATTTGAGTCTAATAATGCCAGAAAACTGCTCTTTTGAAATTATCTCATTAAACAAATATTTGATTTCTCTCTGCCTTCTATGTTTGTTTCTCCATTTTTTACCCTTTGATCATCGCTTACTTACTTAAAATGACAAAGTTGCTTTTTTTTTTTGAAGTTATTGAAGGGTGCTGAGCGATTGCAAAATATTTGACTTATCTCAAAACATAGGTCATTTTGTGGCATTACTGGCTTTCCAAGCTAAAGCTTTTCCAGTAAGCAGGCAAGACAAAAACAGCCTGGTGTCGCCTAGTCGTACTCTAACTCTTATGGTTGACAGCTGTTTCTTGCACCCAAGGACGGCCATTAATAATATTAAAGTCAGAATTGTAACTAAGGATCTGCGTGTTGTTTTTCAGTAACAAAGATTTTCAACTACACTATGTTGCTACCTTCTTAAAATGTCATTTTTTGTAAGGTTTCTTCATAGACGTCAAAGTTTCTGAATGCTTCGAATAGGCTCAGCGTTGAACGGATATATTAAACTGAAACTGGTTGTCTGGCAAAAGGAGATGTAGCGACGGGTTGAGAAAAATAAGCGAGTAGAGAAAACAAAGAAGGAGATACGAGAACGGATCACCTCTAATTCAATATTACATCGAGCAAATTCGGTTAATTGTTCGTCGGTTTTTGAAATTTGCCAATATTTTTGCCGATAAACTTTGCACTTTCTTCTGTCGTTGTTTGGCATTGTGATAATGATCTCCTTTTCGACAGATCATTTACGCATTAACGCCTTATTTTTGCATTTTTTAAAAACATATACTCTGAGTTTTTGTTTTTACGTTTTATCGTTGTTATTATTTTTATAAAGTTGTTTTTAGATTCAATTAATTGGTCAAATTAATGAGTTTTTTTTTTCTTTTTTATTTGCTTTGCAGCTTTTTTTTTCTGGCATTTCAAAATGAACATCTGCGATTGACGATGGAAAAGTGTAGAGTGTACTATGTGCTGGTTAATTTTCCGTTATGGGGATGGGGAAATAGAGGAGGGGTGATGCTGGTAGAAGGAATCAGTGTCAGGCACTGAAGACTACCTGAGTATTGTAGACCCACTGTTGTTGTTATTCTGCTTGTATTCAGAATCCAGGATCTGCTTTTGAAAACATCCAACATAGATTTTTATTCTTATTAATTAGCTTGTTCTTTGTGTTCTTTTTCTTTTACACTAGACTTCTACCTTCGACAGCGAATTCATCATTTTCAGAACTATTATAGGCGAAGGGAGGAGGGGAGGTTTTCAATTACTGCTTTTTTTAACGTCGCTGTTTCGTTGCTTTTGTATGAATGGGACCTCAAACATTCCTCTGCTCAGTG